TATTCAACTAAAAGAAAATTAGCATGTAACATGGAAAATCTATGCATTACAATGAAGGCAGACTTAACAGGGAGATTTATAGCCCTAAGTGACAACGTTAAAAATCCAGACAGTGGCAGGAGAGGGTTCAGTGGTTAAGAAATGAGGAAACCTGCATTTGATACCCAGCACCCATGTGGAGTGACTCACAGCTGCACAGAACTCCAGCTCAAAGGGCTCCAATGCCCTCTTCTGGCCCTAGGCACTCACACACATGAACTTACACTCACAAAACACAGACATAACATATACATATGTAAACAACAAAAGGTAAATTAATTCAATTAGAGAAAATGAAGACATTGCAATAGACAACAGGAAATTCAGAGAATCATGACAATACACTTTAAAAATTTGTATTCTACTACACAGGGATAATGACAAGAAACAGACAAATTTGTTGGCATATATAACTAACTTATGAGAGTTAAACCAGTATAAAGTAAAATAGCTTCCAAATTCTAGCACAACACAAATAATAACTTTTTGTTGTTGTTGTTGCTTTTGTTTTTCGAGTCAGGGTTTCTCTGTGTAGCTTTGGAGCCTATCCTGGCACTCGCTCTGGAGACCAGGCTGGCCTCAAACTCACAGAGATCCGCCTGCCTCTGCCTCCCGAGTGCTGGGATTAAGGACATGCGCCACCAACGCCCCGCTCAAATAATAACTTTTAACAAAACTTATTAAATAATTCTGGAACACAGAAAAGGAAGAATTCCAAGCACTTTCCTCCATGAAGCCAGTATTATCCCAATTCTAAAACCTAACAAGGACACAGTAAAAAAAGAAAATTAAAGGATAATCTCTTTGATAAATATACATGTCAAAGTCATCAAAACAAAACAAAAATAAAAACCCTTACTGACAAATAGAATTCATGAACAGGCCATAATAATCCTTCACCTTGTTCAAACTGACTTCATTCCCAGCATGCAAAGATGGTGCTATATACATTAATGACTAAAAGTATTTCCAGAAATTGTCGAGGACAGTCATTATACAACATGGTAACAACTGCACACACACACACACACACACACACACACACACACACACACACACACACACACGCGCGCGCGCACACACACACACACACACACACACACACACCATTTAAAAAACAAAACAATTTCCCTTCATGACCAAAAACTTGGAAAGGGATAGAAACATTTGATAAAGGCTATATGACAGAATTACAGCTGATTCATAGTAAGTGAAAAAAATTCAAAGCATTCTCATTAGGATCAGGGACAAAGAAAATCAATTCGAAATAGTACATGATGTCTTGGCTTGAGCAGTAAACCACCACTCTGGGCTTGCTTCTTTTTGGGAGGCATGTTCTCACTATAGCCAAGACTCACCTCAAACTTGAGGCAGTTATCTTGTCTCAGCTTCCTATATCCTGGGATTATAAGTAAGTCACCATGATGAATGGCGTCTATGAGGAGAAAAAGGCCTTTAGAACACAAAAACAAAGAACTATGGTAATGGGCTACAGAAAGGCCTCAACTGGTTAGGACCCAAAGTGAATTAGACATTGGATAACAGCAAAAGGAATTAAGATTCTGTAGTCTGGGTGATATGGAGGACTAATGACACTAAAAAGTTTCATTTTAAAAAATAGAGAATTAAAATCTAAGTCCACCCAACTACACCAAGATGATTTTTCTTTAAAAAAAAATAACCAAATGCCCAAATTGAATAAAGATATCCTCTTCAATATATTGTTGTAGGAAAATTTTATCTTCTGGTAGAAGAAAACATGGACGTTCAACTTTATCTGTTGTTTGCTATATAATCCTTTTGCTATGTTGATTGATATTGCTGGATCATACAGCAATTTTATTGTTTAAATGTTACCAAAAGCTTTATTAGGCTTACATTATTTGTTAGAAGAGCTGACACATGTGACCAAGTCCTGGAGGGCATTATCATGCAAGTCCTGGGTCTCATAATTAATTCTGCAGAGGCACTGAAGAAGCTATCAATGCTAAATTGTATTCTGCTGTCCATTTAAGAAATGGTGTAACTGATGGGAGCAGATGCAGTAATCCACAGCCAAACACTGGGCTGAGCTCTGGCGTTGAGGTGAGGGAGGAGGGATCAAATGAACAAGTGGGATCAAGATCATGGTTGGGAAACCAGAGACAGCTGACCCGCGCTAGTGGGAGCTCAGACTCTGGACTCACAGCTGGAGAACCTGCATTGCACCAAAGTAGGCCTTCTGAATGTAGCTTGCTCTGTGGGGGTGGGGGAATGGACCCCTGGCAGAGGAACCAGGACTTAACCCCTTGCATGAACTGGCTTTTTGGAGCCCATTGTCGATGTTGAGATTCCTTCCTCAGCCTTGACACAGCAGGGAGGGGTTTGGTCCTGCCTTAACTTGATATGCTAGACTTTGTTGACTCTCCAAGGGAAACTTTACCCCCTCTGAGGAGTGGATGGGGGTAGGATGGGGGATGGTGGGTGGGAGAACGGGAGGCAGAACTGGGGTTGGTGTGTAAAATGAAAAAAAAAAAATAAGTGCTCACAAAGATCATAAAGACAGAAAGGGACCATGAGAGGAAGAGTGGATAGCAGAGCACCTTAGCCATGACTGTGGAGATGGGGTAACACTGAGGAATAGAAAGGTATAAACAGATGGGGAAAGAAGGGATACTTAAGAGAGATAAATAAGACAGGCTATGGGCTGGAGAGATGGCTCAGAGTTAAGAGCACTTACTGCTCTTCCAGAGGTCCTGAGTTCAATTCCCAGCAACCACATGGGGGCTCACAAGCATCTATAATGAGATCTGGTGCCCTCTTCAGGCAGGCACACACAAAGGGAGAATGTTGTACACATAATAAATAAATCTTTAACAACAACAACAACAAAAACAGGCCATTCAGAGGGAAAACATAGAAAGAAGGGATACAGAAGAGAGTTAAATAAGATAGGCTATTCAGAGGGAAAACATAGAAAGAAGGGTTATATTAGAGGGATAAATAAGACAGGCTATTCAGAGGGAAAACATATTAAAAGGTATTTTATAACCTTATAACAAAAAAAAGTTTGAATTGACACTTTCTCCATTGATGGACAATGCATCTCCCCCAAAGCCACAGGTAACCACATGAGAATCCAGTGCTAAGTTTATGACACTTCCCTATCATTTGTTGCTCAAGGAGGACTGGGGTCTCCCTTAAAATGTAGGTTATTATCATTGCCCAGGATTGCCACACAGCACTTGATGGTAAAATCCTATGACTGAAGAAAGTATCCATTTGGTCACAGGACATTGAGAAATCAAGCTGGAGACGAGCTGGAAGCTGTTTCCCTCCAGACAACTTTCAAATGAGGAGAACTTGTTATGCAAGTTGCTGGGAAAGGATGAGCTGTGTATTCAGTGAGATAAAATGACCCACTGGGCAAAATCTATTGTAAAATACTGGAAGGAAAGTTATGAGGATGAGCCATCCTTTGTTTCTTAGCCTTTTGACCAGCTACACAAACAGGAACACAATCATATCTTATGTGTCCGAGTGCATGCCATGTGTTAGTAGTTGTCTTTAGAGTGATGGTCTTTAATTCCTGGAAGTTAGAGATTGTTGGAAGTCACCAAATGTGGGTTTTGGATAACAAACTGGAAGCCTTTGGAAGATTAGTTAAGTACTCTTAGATGCATAGCTATTTCTCCAGTCTTGATTCCCGAAACCTCATCAAGAGCCTGTGGCTGGGCAGGTTACCGGTGCTAAGCAGTTACCTAATACTACTATCTTGATAAATAGTCGTGTTAAAATGTCTTGCAAATTCTCATGTTCATACTCATAAATTAAAGAGTGTGTCTGTTGAGAAGTACTGAAGGAACAGAAGGAAGCAGATGAAAGAGAGGAACTCGGAATTTAAAACACTAAAATTTATTAAATATATAATCAGTGCTTTTAAAAATATAATCATTGAAGTACACAGAAATATTAAAAACACACACCCAGAATCTATGTTAATAAAGGGGCTGGAGAGATGTCACAGAGACTAAAGGTCCTTGCTGATTTTACAGAGGACTAAAGTTTGGCTCCTAGCACACACTGTAGGGCATCAAAACTTGAATCTGACTCTAGTTCCAGGAGGTTCTACACCCTCTTCAGACCCTAGACACTTGGATGCATGTGTATATACTCACACAGAACAGACACACACGCACATATACATAATATAATAAATTAAAAAATAATCTATATAAATGTCACTCAGGGCCAGGCAGTGATGGCACACACCTTTAATCCTAGCACTTGGGAGACAGAGGCAGGTGGTTTTCTGTGAATTCCAGGCCAACCTGGCCTACAGAGGGAGTTCCAGAACAAGTAGGGCTACCCCGAGAAACCCTGTCTCAAAAAACCAAAAACAAAAAGTCATTTAGAAATATTTTTCATGTAAATGTTATTACCAATGAATTAATAGGTTTTTTTGAAAAAAAAAAGAGTTTGCTACATAAGGGACATAGAAAATATTACAATAGGGAACAATAACTTTTCTTCTTCACCCACAGACACTGAAAAACCTGAAAGAGAAGTCAGTGCTGAGCCATCTCTCAGAAGCACCTCCTTTTCCTTTTCTTTTTTCTTTTTCCAGATTTCTTATTTGTGTATGCACATGATTGTACAAGTACTTGGAGAGGACCAGAAATGTATTCAGAACCTTTAGAATTGAAGCTAAAGTTAGCTGAAAGCCACCCAATACACATGCTGGAAACCAAGCTAAGGCCCCCTGGAAAACAAGCAAATCTGTTAATCACTGAGCCATTTCTCCAGGCTGCAACCAATTTCTTTAAATGCTAGTTGTTGTTGGATGCATCTTTTTTTCGAGGCCTGTCCTTCAAGCGACAGGAATGGCAGACCAGAAAATTATGCCAACATTATTACATAAATGTTACCTCCAAGACTAAAAACAAAAAGGCAAACACAAAATTCATGTAAACAAATGGACCAAAGATCAAAATGCTAACATTTTTATTGTAATTCTTTCATATTATTTTTAAAATATGCTACACAAACTTAAATTCTCTTTGCAATATTTAACTACATGAAATGTTTTACAAGCTTTATTTCAACTGAAAAATCACACAGCTTTATTTTTTTCATTAAATTTTCATTTGGTTGGAACAAGTTCACCTTAAAAGTTCCAAGTGGTCAGCACTTGGGAGGCAGAGGCAGGTGGATCTCTGTGAGTTCGAGACCAGCCTGGTCTCCAGAGCGAGTGCCAGGATAGGCTCCAAAGCTACACAGAGAAACCCTGTCTCGAAAAACCAAAAAAAAAAAAAAAAAAAGTTCCAAGTGGTATTCAAATGTCCTATTTTGCCAGCCTCCTACCTGAGCTGCAATAAACAGACAAGCATTAAAACATATATCAGAACAGGATTTATCCTGATTTTGCTTATATATTAGGGCTAAAATTACACTGTTGCTACTCATATCTGTTTCTTTTCACTTCAAACTTTTTTTTTCTTTTTCTTGCTTTAGTGCTACATTTTTTTTTTTTACTTCATTTATGCACACACACACATACATGCAATGGTGTGCATGTGGAACTCAGAAGACAACTTTTGGGAATTGGTTCTCTGTTTTCACCATGTGACTTCCATGGTTAAAACTGAGATCAGGCTAACCCAAAAGAACTTCTACTAACTAAGCCATCTCATGGTCATCTAAATGCTTTTTTCCTACCTCACAATAAAGGCAAGTTGACCACACAGAATGCCATACTGTTTCTAGTTGAGCAAGTTCTTCATTATGAGACCTTGTATGGGTTTGTGATGGTATGTAAGACACAGAGACCTTTTCACAGATTGCTCACATGGACAAGGACTCTATAGCATGAATTCTTTCATGCTTGAGGAAATTACCACAATAGGTGAATTCTTTCCCACAGTGTTTACATATGTAAAGTTTCTCTTTCATAGAATGAATTTTTTTATGAGTGTAATAGGAACTCTGACTGTTGAAGGTTTTTCCACAAGGGTTACATGCAAAATGCTTCTCTGCAGTGTGAGTTTTTTCATGACTGTTACGTGTACTGGAAGTGGCAAAAGTTTTTGTGCAATGTTTACATGTATAAGGCTTCTCTCCAGTGTGAATTCTTTCATGACTGTTACGGGCACTTGAAGTGGTGAAGGCTTTTCCACAATGTTTGCATGCATAAGGCTTCTCTCCAGTGTGAATTCTTTCGTGCTTGATTAGATCACCAGAAAGAATGAAAACTTTTCCACATTTTTTACATAGAAAGGATCTCTTACCAGTATGAATTCTTTCATGGCTGTTTCTGTCACTGGAAGTGGCAAAGGGCTTTCCACAATACTTACATGCATAAGGCTTCTCTCCAGTGTGTATCCTTCTATGACTGATAAGATAATCAGAACGACTGAATGCTTTCCCACATGTTTTACATACAAAGGGTTTCTCTCCAGTATGTATTCTTTCATGACTGTTACGGTCACTGGAACTGGTGAAGGATTTTCCACAATGTTTACATGCATAAGGCTTCTCTCCAGTGTGAATTCTTTCATGATTCATAAAATGACCCAAACGTTTGAATGCTTTCCCACATTTTTTACATACAAAGGGATTCTCTCCAGTGTGAATCCTTTCACAACTATTATAGTCATCGGGACTAGTGAAAGCTTTCCCACAATGCTTACATGAATAAGGCTTCTCTACACAGTGAAGTTTTTCATGAACATGATCAGCATTGGAAATAGTGAAGACTTTTTCACAATGTTTACATTCATAAGAATTTTCTCCAGTGTGAATTCTTTGGTGCATGAGTAGGTTTTTCAACTGAATAAATGCTTTCCCACATTGCTCACAAGCATAAGGCTCTCCACTGTGAATTCTTTCATGTTTTTGAAAGCATGACAAATATCTAAATGTTTTTCCACACTGTTTGCAAATATAACACTTCTCTACAATATGAATTCGCTCATGACTGATAAGGTGACTGGAATTAACAAAGGCTTCTCCACACTGCTTACACACGAATGGTTTTACTTCAGTATAGATTCTTTCATCTACCTGGCCATTTGTACAATTTGTAAAGGCATTCTCATTGTGGTTATTTCCAGTGTAAGCTCTCTCCTGATGCTGATCATAATGGAGACTCCCACAAGCTGGAGTGCATTGATTTTCATAGGATTTATCTCTAGAACTTTCATGTACCTGAAATGACCCAGAATGACCCACCTCTTGCCAAAATTTCTCATGTTTAAAAGCCTTCTCCACAGGTTCCTTACACTCAAGTAGTTTCTCTTTAGTTTGATCACTGAGGTGAACATCTGAGGGTAAATTATCAATGACATTTCTTACACACAAACTGCTTTCATATAATGTTATAGCAGGAGGCATGTCCTCATTAACAATATGTACTGGAATCTGTTGCTGGGTTTCTTCACACCAATTCTCATGTTCATATTCACTGTCTTTCTCAACCACCTGAGTTCTGAAAAAAAAAAAAAAAAGAAAAAGAAAAAAAGACAAGAAGAGCATTATTGGATCTAGAAATAGTGAAGGCATTTTCATAATGTTTACATTAGTAAGATTTCTCTCCAGTGTGAACTCTTTAGTGTATGAGAAGGTGTTTCCAATAAATAATGAATACTTTGGTGCATGAGAAGCTATTAGTGCTAGTATATTCTTTATTAGGCAAAGAAAGTGTTGGTGACTGACTCCAGTGGTCCACTGGAGTTATAGTTACAGAGCAGAATCATACAGAGCCACGTATGGAGAATCTGGAGAGATGGCTTAATAGTTAAAGAGTACCTCTTCCTCTTCCAGAAGACCGAGGTCCAGCATCCCTATGGGTGGGTTCACAGTGGCATATGGTTTCAGATTCAAGGGACCTATAGCCCTCATCTGGCTCTACAAATCCTTCTCACACACGTGTGGCATACACTCACATGAAACCAAACATACACATAAACTAAAATGACTTACGTACATAAAAGGAGAGAATTTTCAGCCAAGGTCCTGGTGTTAGTATAAAAGAATAACAATCACATGACATTAGGGAATATGACTCCACTTAGGCATTTGAAATATATAACATGTGCTGGTTAGATTTTTTTTTTTTTTTTTTTTTTTTTGGTTTTTTTGAGACAGGGTTTCTCTATGTAGCTTTGGAGCCTATCCTGGCACTCGCTCTGGAGACCAGGCTGGCCTCGAACTCACTGAGATCCGGCTGCCTCTGCCTCCCGAGTGCTGGGATTAAAGGCACTGGTTAGATTTTTATCAACATGACACAAGACAGGGCCATCTGAGAAGCTGGAACTTCAATTGGGAAATTGGCTCTATCAGATTGGCCTGTAGGTAACTCTATAGGGGCACTTTCTTGACTAATAAGTTATATGGGAGAACCCAGCTTGCTGTGATTGGTGTCTCCCCTGGGCAAGTGGGCCTGGGTTGTATAAGATAGCAAGCAAGCCAGTAAGCAGTGCTCTTCCATGGTTTCTGCTTCCAGGGACCTGCCAACCTTATGTTCCTGGCCTGGCTTCCCTTGATGATAGACATTGACATGAAGTGCAAGCCAAAATAAACCCTTTTCTTCCCAAGTTGCTTTTGGTCATGGTATTTACCACAGGGCTATAAAGCAAACTAAAAGAGAAATTGGTACCAAGTCCATCGGCTATTGCTGTTCAAACCTGACCATGTTATTTTTGGAAGGACTGTGATAGAGCTTAGATTAGAACTTTCAACTGGAAAGGCCAGAGAGTGCTCAAAGTTTAATGATCTGTTTTGGCAGATTGGAATATAACAACGAGCAATGTAGACAATGCCTTGTCAAGTTTCAAAAGGATGTCTGAGGGTGACCTGGCTGCAACTCATATCACACCCCCTTGATAACTAGATTTGATTTGGTTGATGTGGCTGGTGAGGGAGTGTCCCCTTCCACCGTCACATCTCCAAAAGTATCCCTGCTAAAGCTGTGTGCTTTGTCAAAGAGGATAACCTTCCCTGAGTAGAGGAAAGCCAGTCTTATGTTAAGGGTATATGAGTAGCTATGCTCCCATGTTATAACATCCAAGCAAACTCTCAAAAGGATGTTCAAGTGAACCTCAAAGGCTCTAATCGAGTGGTTTAATAAATAGTTTGCATTAACAAGCTATGTTTTCTGGTCAGCTGGGACTGAAGAATCAGCTACGATAAACAACCAGCACTGAGGTGAAATCTTCAGAGATTTCGGTCAGCAAAAGGTTGCAGTGTGTAAGATTCTGTCAGGTAGTATTGACTTCAGCATCAAAAGAACTACAGGAATGAAGAGGTCATGGAGAGAAGCTGAGGCAGGGTACGGTGGGAGGCCAGGAGATATCACTGCTGAAGGTAAAAACCCAGAAGGGTTTATTGAGAACAGATGAGATTTTTGCACCACATGTCAGGGGCGGAGTTCCTGAGGAGAGATCAGAAAGTGCGTGGCAAAGCTGTAACCTGTATGCACCCTAGCATATGAGATGCTAATACCATGGATGACTGCCAAGGACAGCAGCAGTTGTGGACTGGAGCCGATCTGAGTCTATGAGTCAAGTGGTGTGTGCGATGTATGGCAGAGACATAAAAGCTGTGTACCCTAAGCCCCTTCGAGACCAGACTATCACAAGTGATGCCTGGATGAAGTACACTGAGCTACAGAATTTGATTAACACTGTTGATTTTTGGGTTTGCTTTGATCTAATTGTAACTGTGCTCTTCTTCTTCCCCTTTGAAAGAAGAAGTGCCTATCTTATAATTGATTTTACAGGAGCCCACAGAGATGTTTTAGGTTTAGGAGACACTGAATATTTAAAGTGTATAAACTTTGTTTAAGACTGTGGGATTCAGCCGGGTGTTGGTGGCGCACGCCTATAATCCAAGCACTTGGGAGGCAGAGGCAGGTGGATCTCTGTGAGATTGAGGCCAGCCTGGTCTACAGAGTGAGTTCTAGGATAGGCTCCAAAGCAATACAGAGAAACCCTGTCTTGGAAAAAAAAAAAAAGACTGTGATTCTGTGATTCCTAAAGTTATGCTCTGATTTATACTATGATATTACCACGGGTTCATGAGGACAAATAAGAAAGGGAAAGTTATTGTGTGAGAGTGGTGAATTCGTATGGCATGATGATAAGGAGTCAGTTGTGCTGGTTAGTTTTTTGTTGTTGTTGTTTTGTTTTCAACTCAACACAAGCTATGTTCATCTGAAAAGAAGGACTCTCAATTGAGAAAATGGTTCCATTAGATTTGCCTGTAGGCAAGTCTGTGGAAGTATTTTCTTGATTAATAATTGATGTGTGAGGGCCTACTGTGGGTACCACCCATGAACATATGGGCAGGGCAGGGCAGGGCAGGGCAGGACCCAAAATAAGCTCTTGCCATCTAACGTCTTTTGTCCTGGTGTTTATCTCAGCAATAAAAAGGAAATTAAGAACAGCTATTCTGAGGTTAGTGATGTGACTCATAAGTTAAAGAGGACTGAATCAAACCATGTTTGACTCTAGCACCACCACCACACGGTGGTTCACAACTGTCTATAACTATTAATCCCAGGGGATGGGAATCTTATGCCCTCTTCTGGCCTCCAAAAGTACTACATGAATGTGATACACAAACATACACTCAAAGCACACATAAAAAAACAAAACAAAACCAAATAATTCTAAAAAGCAAGATAACAACAAAACAGCTCTTATATGTAAAACTCCAAGAAAACACCATAAAAAATACATCTAATACTTGTGAGAATGAGGCGAGTTTTTATGTAATGAACCACTGAAAAATTTCTTACACGATAAATGTGGCATCACATTGTGATGACATTCAGAAATTACAGAGATGGGATGTTCAAATTTTGAATGATTGCATCCAATAGAGTTTTATAAACATCTCCTATAATTAATTTATACTTATATGTAGTTGGATAATTTACTAGGTTCTCAGCTGTCCTGTCATTCCCAAATGTTTGATGTAAATTCCTCTTGGTTGAATATAAATTACCCCAGATTTCTCCTGAGATTCTGGTGGTCCTCTTCATTATTTTCTTCTTGTGTTTTCTCTAGAAGTAAACCCAAAGAAATCATTGACATAGTCACCATTATAAAGATTTATTACATTCTAAATCTTACGATGTGACCAGACACATTAACTTCACTACATGTTCCCTTTCAATATATCAAACCACAAACCATTACACACACAAGCAGGAAACAACCGTCTCTGAATAAGCTAAGGACGCATAGTGTGCTTTTACCTATGGAGAGCAGGTTCATAAAGGTTTCCTTCATCACATCTCTGTAGAGCTTCTTTTGATTGGAATCCAACAAAGTCCATTCTCCTGAGGTGAAGTTCACAGCCACATCCTCAAAGGTCACTGGCTCCTAAAACAATGCACATATCAGGATGGTTGGTTTTAACTGACAGGCTGGCTGGATGCAGAAGCATCTAGCACATACCTTCTGAAGACACTTCTAAGTGGTTATGCAGATAAAGGTTAACATGAGAAACTATGATTATATGAATTACTGGGTACGCTACTAGGTTCTCAACTGGCCTATCATTCCCAAATGTTTGATGTAAATTCCTCTCTCGAGTATAAATTACCTCAGATTTCCCTGAGATTCTGGTAGTCCTCTCCAACATTTTCTTCTTGTGTTTTCTCTAGAAGTAAACCCAAAGAAGTCATTGTGTTTGCCTCCACACACATTATCATTGTGTGGAAACATTCTTTGACTTGTGTGCAGTATTACAGTAGAGGAAGAAGGGAGCTGAGGAACACACAGCCTCTTGGCACTCTATTCTTGACTGTGATTTTTCACTATCTGTTCCACACTATTGCTTTAAGGTTTCCGTCATGATTTATTGAACCCTTCAACCAGAAGATGAAATAAACTTTTTCTGCCTTAAGTCATTTTTCTCAGAGTAGTTTATCACGGATAGGAACAGACACAAAGAAGTGAGGCAATAAACCTGGCCAGGTTCTCTGGGCATTTTCAACTTTTTTTTTTCTTGTGAGAGATAAAAGAATTGTTCTTTTCTTAAGGACAGACAGACAGGCAGATAGTCAGACAGACAGGCAGAGTGGAGAGAGAAACCATTCATTCACTCACAAAAGAGAGAGAGAGAGAGAGAGAGAGAGAGAGAGAGAGAGAGAGAGAATCAGCATACATACTAGAATACACAAATCTGAATGGATCATTGTGGTAGATGTTACAACAAAAATGAAGAAAGAAATACCCAAGAGGCAAGCTCAGAAAGGTTCAGAGGGAAACGACTCAGTCTGGAACCGAGACAGGGACCTTACTTTGCTTTTTGGGTCAAGAATTGTGCCCTGGGCCCAGGAGTGTAAAGGAACTTGCATTTAAAAACAATGAAGTATTTTGGTAAATGAAGAGTGTAAGCAAGCTTACAGTTTCAGACATGAGGTGATGAGAAAGCAGTTGTAATTGGTATGAGATTAATTCTAGGCCCTGGGACAACACTGAGACAGGGAAGTACAGGACAAGCTAAGCAATCTGAGACATTACTTGGGTTTTACACCCTGTCCCCTCCAAACAATGCACCTAGCACCCTGTGAGTATTCTTTGAACAATCATCTGTAGGTAACCTTGGACCACATCCACTCTCAGGTTTGATGCTTTAAAATATGGCAATATGTTAGTCCCTCTGGTAACACTTTATTAATCCCTTATATTGAAGGGCCCCCATTTTGGCAGCCATGACAGGCTGGCATGTGCTTGCCTGACCTTGCTAGGCCTACCCTAGTAACTAAGAGGGCAGATGCCCTCCTCATGGCAAGGAACCAATCAGAAGTTAGCTGGCGAGGCTGTGCTTTACAGCTCTGGGTGTGCTTTATGTACAAGTGCACAACATGCAGAGCATAGCAACCACCCTGGGAGGGCCATAACAACCAGTTGACCAATCAACACAGGGCAGGCCGTTCAAGCGCACCAGTCCTGAGACTGTTGCACACCCCTAAACACTCCTCTTAGGCTGTTCTCTAAGATTCCCCGCTCGTGGTTTCTCGGGGTCTTTCTGCAACCATCTGCCTTGGTGGATGGATGAAGGGCCCGAGCTAATGGGGTTAGCTTGTTAAACAACTACAATAAAAGACTCTTTGCTTTTGCATTGAAGGGGCCTCTTGGTGATTTGGAGGTTTCAAAATTTGGGCACAACAATATCTATTCAATTACATTTGGAACACACCTAGTAACAATGGAAAATGGCCTGAAAATTATAACACATGTAACATGTAACATAAGGCAAATCATGTTCTCAAAATTAGTACCTAAATTCTTAATTAGGCATATGATTAAACTCAGATGCTTGATGAGAAAGGACATGTGCAGTGAGCAAGACTTTCCAAATGTAACCCAATCGGAAACAATACAGAACCCTCTGCATGCTCCATTCCTTAACAGTTAAACCCTTCCTTTCAAACCCCAAGCAATAATTGGTGAGCCGACCCTGCTCAACTCCACAGTTTGGATATATTAGGAAGATTACTGAAGGGAGAAACTGGGAAAGACCTAGGACTAATATTACTAAAGATAGATAGCAGTCATTTTCAGTGGGCTGTGCTCTGATACTGCGAGATAGAACATCCCAACTTATCTGCAGATCCCACACTTGCAATTCATGCACCCTCTGACCCTCTCTAATGCTGCTTTTGCTTCTCTCATTGCATATGTTGGCTATGCTGCTGTGATCTCATAGTTCTCATAGGGAGTAAGGCCTTGTGATGTGAAAAAGTGATGTGCACAGAAAAAACTCTCAGTGTGCCTGTTAAGTTTCAAGCTTTGCTACCAATAAGCCTACAGTTAGAAGTGGTTATACAAAGCATGGTGATGTGTACCTGCAATCTTGATAGTCATGAGACTAAGCAGGGAAGATTATTAGTTTGAGCCCAGCCTAGGCCACAAAATTTTGTCTCAAAGGAAAAAAGAAAAGAAATACTGGCTCCAAGGGAAGAAAATATGAACTTTTTTTTCTTATTTTTCCAAGGACTTTGGGTGTGCCATTAATTTCACAATTTGTGTTGTAACCATTTTTTTAAAACATAGCCAACCAATACTATCAACTATCCTTAAAACTGCCTTTATTCTATCCCATAGACTTGGTTATACTGTGTTTTTTCATTTAAATTTAGGAAATTGAAGTTTTCTTTCTTCATTTGTTCCTCGACCTAATTATTATTTAGTGGTATGTTGTTCCGTTTCTATGAGTCTGTAAAGATTTGTAGTTCTATTGCTGATAATAATCACCTTTAGTCCATTTGGTCAAACAGAATGCAATTTCTCTATATTTGTAGAGATTCTCTTTGTGAATTCTTTTTGTGAATCACTAATATGATTGAGTTTGAAGAAAGTCCCATAGGATCCTGAGAAGATTGTGTATTCTTTAGCGTTTGGCTAGATTGTTTTAGTACATGTTTACTAGGTCCATTGATTTATGATATAATGTTTCCTAGTTTAGTTTTTTTTTTTTTGCCTAGATGAATTAGCTGACAAGAGTAGCTTACTGAAGTCATCCATTACTTCTAATTTTAGATCTAGTGATGTCTTTTACAAAATTGGGTGTACCTGTATTTGTTGTGTGTGTTTTGTGTTGTAATTTCCTCTTGGTAGATTATTCTTATAACAAGTATGAAATGACAGACACTTTTGACTAGTTTTGAGGTCTATTTTATCACATAAACAGCAGCTATACCTTCTTGGTTTATCTATGTAATAGACAAGTTTAAATTCTTTTACCCTAAGATGGTATTCATCCTTGATGGTAAGGTAGGAATTAAGGTCCCCCCCCACACACACACACATAGTTTCTTTGTGTAGCCCTGGATGTCCTGGATCTACTATGTAGATCAGGCTGGCCTCAAACTCAAAGATCTGCTTGTCTCTGATCCCCAAGTGCTGGGATTAAAAGTGTGTGCCACCACTGCCTGAAAGGAATTAAGACATTAACATTAAGAGTTATTAAAGGTTCTGGAGGTGGTGGCACATGTCTTTAATCCCAGTACTCGGGAGGCAGAGGCAGGCAGATCTCTGTGATTTTGAGGCCAGCCTGGTCTACATAGCAAGTTCCAAGACAGCCTCCAAAACAATACAGAGAAACCCTGTCTCGACACCCCCCCCCAAAAAAAAGAGCTATTCATGGTCAGACATAGTGACATAGTGATTCATGTCTTTAATCCTAGCACATGAGAGGCAGAGGCAGGTGGATGGAGGCCATTCTGGTCAACATGATGAACTGCAGGACAGTCAGAGCTACACAGTGAGACACTATCTCAAAAAGAGACACATTTCCAGACAAAGTGAGTTAGCTAGAAGGCTCTCAGACCAGATGAGCTGCCTGGAAGAGGCTCAGACCAGCATGTTATGGAGTCCACTTGAAAGCAACATAATTCAAACATCAAGAATGCAGAAACTAGTGTTTACTGTAATCAAGCTGATACTGATCAGTCAGGGAAACAGAACAGACTTGGGAGCTGAACTGTGACCCTGAAGTGGAATGTTACAGGGATTTTAAGCACAAAACCCACAAACATCTGTGCCAAGTTATAGCTACATTTTCCACCAATCAGCATTTAGGGATCAGAAGCTTTCCTAGGGACATTTCTTCTCATTGGTTGTCTTACTCCCATGGTTGGCAGCTTGCCCATCATTCATGCTTCAACTTGCCAACCAGGATGTCAGTTACCCAGGAATCTCTTGGAAAGTTAAACTTATTTGACCTTTAGTCAAAATGAAAATTCTATTCAAAATGGCTTCACTTTGGTTCCTTCTTACAAGCAGAGCAGCCTGGAAAAAGCAGAGAGTAGCCAACCTGCTTGGAAGAGCAAGCCAGTTGAGCTGCCGAGCTGCCGACAGGCTGTGCAAGGTTCTCTGGGTGACCAGCATTCCTGAGCTGTCACCCATGCTAAGGGTGGCTTGGTTATGCAGCTGTCTTTGATTCATTTCTAACCCTGTAAGTAACTCTTAACTTATATTTCTATCATCACCCCAATAAAACACATTGGTTCACCAAGCTGAGTTTTGGTAGTAACCATACTTTACTCCATGGTTGCTTTCCTGTCTGTCTTGAAAAGACGATTGGTCATATCTCTAGTAGAATGCCACCAAAGAACTACATATGAAGTCACAGATTAATTCAAATGAAGTAATACTCAGTGACTTCAATACCCAACTCATCAGTCAACTAAAGAACTAGATAAAAAAAATCTATAACTAAATGACACAATGAGGTAAGCTGTGGTAGGGCACGCCTCTAATCCCAGCACTCAGAAGGCAGAGGCAGGTGGATCTCCATAAATTTTAGACCATACTGATCTATATAGCAAGTTCCAGGCCAATTGGAGTTACATAATTCAGACTGAGTCTCAAAAGGCCAATAAACAAACAAACAGATTGAATGACACCATATAACAAATGAACCAAGTAAACACACAAAGAATATTCCACTCAAACCCAAGAGAGTGTACACACTTCTAAGCAACTAATGGAAAGTCTCTATATGAGGATATAAAGCAAGTTTCAACAAACAGAGGCAGCCTAAAATGATGTCTTGTATTCTATCTGATCACAATGCAATAAGACGGAAGCCAATAGCAAGAGGAATTACAGAAAATCTACCAACTCATATAACACACTACTGAGTGATGAATGTGTCACTGAAGAAATTAAGGAGATCAAGTCCTTCCTTGAATTAAATGAAAATGAAGGCATAACGTGAGATAAATACAACGAAGACAGTACTAATAGGGACATTTATAACTTATTTTCCTATGTTAAAATCATACAAGAATGGCTGAGCGGTGGTGGCACACACCTTTAATCTCAGCTCTTGGGAGGCAGAGGCAGGTGGATCTCTGAGCGAAAGGCCAGCCTGGTTTACAGAGTTGAGCTCCAGGGCAGCCAGGGCTACATAGAGACACCATGTCCTAAAAATAAAATAAAATAAAATAAAATAAAATAAAATAAACACTAACCAAACCAAAACACAAAGACAACAACAAAAATCAGACAAGAGGGACTTCCTCTCCGCCCTCCTAGTTCTTTACTCTGGGGGTCTCTGAGCACAGCCCACTGAAAATGACCTACTTTGATGCTGCTGTTCTCTGTGCTGATCAGGAAAACCTCCATATCACTAGCTGTCCACCCTAGAAGAGTGCTGGGGGCCCCTAATGTTGGAGCTCAGAGGCCTGGGACCTCCCTCCTACTGCCTCTGGTACCTCCTGATGTTTAGGGGGTTGCTCCTGGGTCTCAATGACAAGGAGAATGGCTTAATGGATAATATTAACCATATTTATGGAACCCTGTCTACCCTGGTCCCTCCAATACCTACCATGTCAGAATTCAGTGAATCTTTCTGCACTACCTCTGGCCCAAAGGACTCTTGTCTAAGACTGTGACCCCCCCACACACACACACAAAACACACCATGCCATTTACCTCCCATTCATACCTTGACTCCCCCTAAAGTCCCAAAGAAAACTCTGGACCTCTGACATGTCCTCAGGCAGTAGAGTCCTATAGACCTGCAAGTTGAAAGTGTGGGATTATGGGCTCTTTACTGCTCAGACCAGAGCCTGCCAGGCAGCAGAAGCCCACTTGCCCCCTCCCACTCTGCTCTGCATAGGTGAGGACTCCTCCCCATCTCATCCCAGTGCCACAGACAAGAATCTCAGGGTTCATACCTCCCTTATTGTCCTGTACCCCGGTTCCTAACCCCAAAGTTCAAAACCCTGGCTTCATGCTGGAGGAATGATACTCAAAAAACTGTGCCTCGACATCCCAGATTTGTGAGAAGAATCTGCTGTTATCTTGAAGACTACCATGTCCTTTTTACTCCTGTGCACTGGCAAGAGATCTACACATCCCTCTTTGGAGGTCAAGGGGAGTGAGTCACCTTGGGGATTAGGGCAATATTATTCTGCAAGTTTTCCTACAAAATATGAGTTTATACTTTGGGGGGGAAATCAGACACAAAGCTGGAGAGATGGCTCAGCAGTTAGGATACTTGTGGCTCTTCCAGAGGACTCAAGTTTGGTTTCTAGCTCTCACAATGAGTGGCTTACACCTGCATATAATTCCAGCTCTAGGGGATCCAACTCCTTCTTCTGGCCTCTGTAGAAACCCAAGTACACACACACACACACACACACACACACACACACACACACACACACACACCCTTGAACACACAAAACAAAATATAAGTTTTTCCAAAAAAATCAGATCTCAGATGAACAACCTAAAAAAGGACCTTAGGTATTGGGTAAACAAGAAACCAAACTCCAAATCACTAAATGGAAGAAGTAATGAAGATCAAGGCTGAAATTAATAAAACAAAAGTGGGAAGAAAAAACCACCAAGGTGGAGAGATGGCACAGAAGAGCATGTGTTGCTTCTGCAGAGGATCTGACTTCATTTTTCAGGACCAACACAGTGGGTCCTGAAACTCCACTTACTGGGGGGTGGAGGTGTCTAATGCTTCCTTCTGACCTCTGTGCACCTGGCAAACAGGCTGCATTCCTTTTTTTTTGCCAGCAAAACTCACTCATATGAAAAACAAACTAAACATAAATAAATAAATAAATAAATAAATAAATAGAATCGACAGAATTAAGAGTTGGTGTTTAGCGGGGCGGTGGTGGCGCACGCCTTTAATCCCAGCACTCGGGAGGCAGAGGCAGGTGGATCTCTGTGAGTTCGAGACCAGCCTGGTCTACAAGAGCTAGTTCCAGGACAGCCTCCAAAGCCACAGAGAAACCCTGTCTTGAAAAACCAAAAAAAAAAAAAAGAGTTGGTGTTTAAAAACAGAGACATGATTGATAAGCCCTTAGCCAAATTAAAGAAGAGAGAAAAGACCCCCCCCCACCCCACCCCTATTAAAAAAATTAGAGATGGGAAAGGAGGCATTACAATAGACACCCTAAAATTCAGAGAATCATGATAATGTACTTGAACATTTTATATCCCAAGGCTGGGTATTGTACATCCACCTTTACTCCTAGCACTAGGGAGGCAGAAGCAGGCTGATCTTGGTCAGTCCAAGAACAGCTTTGTCAACATACCAAGTTCCAGATCAGCAAAAGCTACATAGTAAAACGCTGTCTCAAAAAATGTTCCCAATAATCTCATCAGTACCCATTCAGTGTTTGCCACACAAGAGGGTTGTGCTAAGCCATCAATGACACAACTGCTGCTCAGGAAACTAAGACATCTGTATGATCTTTCTGTCAGAATTTGGGGGAGAAAAATGACCTACTTTTAAAATGGCCAGCAGGGCTGAGGATGTGGCTCAGCTGACAGAGTGTTTGCTTAATAGATGCAGGCACTCCCTCGCTCGTTTTCCTTTCCAGCACCATATCAAGGCAAGTGCGGCGACTCATGCCTTGCAACCCCAAAACTTGGGAGGAGAATGGAGGATCACAAGTTCAAGGTCATCCACGGCTACGTATGGAGCTCCGGGATAGAAAAACCGACAAGTGGAAAATAAAAGAAAATTAAAATAAACTCACAGCCAGGCGTTGGTGGCGCACGCCTTTAATCCCAGCACTCGGGAGGCAGAGGCAGGTGGATCTCTGTGAGTTCGAGACCAGTCTGGTTTACAAGAGCTAGTTCCAGGACAGCCTCCAAAACAATACAGAGAAACCCTGTCTCGAAAATAAATAAATATATAAATAAATAAACTCACGTTACAGACCCCTTCTGCTCGGAGACGTAGAGAAAAAACAATACAACCCCAAAGAGATCACAGGCAACAATAAAGCAGGTCACACGCGAGTGCGCAAGGGCAGACAGGCACCAGGGCTCACCACCCACGTCCCGACTCCGCGTCACCAGCCCGTCCGCGCCGCATTGTCTGCGGAGGCGCTGGTTCACCGCGGATTCCCCATGACAGGTTGGGGATGGGATGAGGCACTTTTACCACGACATGGGATGAGGCACTTTTACCACGACAGCATCGGAGGGGCCTCCCCACTCCTGGCTGCGGGCTCCTCGGGTGTCAGACGCCACCTCAGGCTGCAGCACAGCGCCAGGGGACCGTCCGATCGGCGGCGCCGGGCTGCACCAAGGCCGCGCCCGTGACTCCCGGAGCCAGTGCGCACTCACCATTTCCTGCTTCGGACGCACGCAGGGGTCCTCTCTGAGGGACCTGCCGCCAGAATAGGTGACACCGAGTGAAACCAGCTGTCAGACACCTCACAAAAGCTACACGGGATTCAAAAATGGAGCCAGGGGCGGAAACCCCAGAACATTCTTGTTCCCCATTTGACAGTTCCAGTCAGGAAGTAACAGCATCCCCGATTGGCGAAAGCTGCTGGACCCGCCTTCTTACTCATGAGTAGCAGGACCAACATCCTTTCCCATCACGGAAGCAAATGAAAATGTTTGATAAAAGCAACACCCAGCCGTAACCCAGGCGTTCCCTTTGGAGTAAACCTGAGGGATAATTGCATTTAAAGGGAACACCCTCTGGGATTTTATAGTGCTCTCAGTGGGCTCCTACTGTTTATTCCACATAAAATTGTGCCACAGGTTTGGCTCTGGACATCCCGGATTCAGTGCCCTTAAAGAAAACCCATGACCAAAACAGGAAGGGCCCCGGATCAGTGAAAGTACAGTAGGAAGAACTAGGACTCGAAGTGCCAGTTAAGGAATTTGTGATGAATACATTTATTGAGTGAATGTATAAAACAGAATTACCCGCCCGGTGGAAGTGGCACATGCCTTTAATCCCAGCACTCGGGAGGCAGAGGCAGGCGGATCTCTGTAAATTCGAGACCAGCCTGGTCTACAAGAGCTAGTTCCAGGACAGCCTCCAAAGTCACAGAGAAACCCTGTCACGAAAAGACCAAAAAATAAAATAAAATAAAATAAAATAAAATAGAATTACCCGGAAGCAATATTCCACAAAGGATTCGGAAGAGGAACAGACCTTACTTTGCCCAAGGTCAAGAAGATAATCTACACTATCAAGTGTAAACATATTCTCAGGATCACACACACTGCTGCATAGCAAGTGTCACAGAAGAACATTTCTTGGTGATGAGAGATACCAAATACATTAACTGGGGAGCTTCCTATGGCTTCCATAGCTCAGAAATCTCTCCTTCAGCACCTTAACATTCACAAGAGGGACAGTTTTCCACAGTCACATTAAAGTTTTGACCAATGTAAACTATCCAATTCACAAACACTTTCTCCGGGTCTCTATCTACTAAAATGTGTCATTAATCCTCATCATCACAGATAAACTTCAAGTGAAAGGAAGAGAGGAAAAGGCAGTGATTTAATAAAGAGGTGACTATGGAAGGAGGGAAGCATAGCACTTCTGACTATGAGTTGAATTTCAATTGGTTTGCATTACAATGAAAATCGGGAAAGATCTGAACAAAAACAAACACTGTAGTTAAATATCATAAAACAAACAGACCTAATAAACATCTTCAGGACAATCCATTCACATGCAAAAAAAAAAATACATTCCTCTCAGTAGCCCATGGGACTTTTTTTTCTAAAACCAGTCACATATAAGACCATAAAGTGAGTCTCAACAAACAAGAGAAATTGTAGTAACAATAAGCATTCTATCGGACAACAAAGGATAAAGCTTGATATTTTCAGAAATAGAAACCACAGAAAGTATATAAAATCACTGAAATTAAACACCACACTACTGAATGATAATAGTAACAAGAAACAAAAAAAAAACCTGAAAAACTCTTTAAAATGCATGAAAGTAAAAACATAATATATATTAATCAGTGCTGGCAACTGGACAAAAAATCCACAAAATGTAAAAACCCACAGGACACAATGGTGGCAGTCCAAGGAAGATAGTTAATAGAATTAAGTACCTACAACAAAACATTCGAGATATCTGAAATGAATAACAATAATGGACCTGAAGGCCTTAGAAAATCAAGGACAAGCCGCGCGTTGGTGGAGCACACCTTTAATCCCAGCACTTGGGAGGCAGAGGCAAGAGGATGTCTGTGAGTTCAAGACCAGCCTGGTGTACAAGAGCTAGTTCCAGGACAGCCAGACAGCCAGGGGTGTTACAGAGAGAAACCCTGTCTCAAAAAAGAAGAAAACAAAACAAACAAACAAACAAAAATAAGGACAAGTAACATCAGAAAGTGACAGATTGAAAGGCATAATCAAAATCAAGGCTGACATTAATGGCACAGAAGCCACAACAAAAACAATACAAAGAATCAATAAAATGAAGATTTGGGTCTTTGAAATTATTAACAAGACTGACCAATTGAACTGCTTAGAGGTTTTCTTTTATTTTTTCTTTTCTTTTTTTTGTTCTTGTTTGCTCTTTTTTGTTTTATCAGGACAGGGCTTCTTTAGGTATTTTTGGGTGTTCTGGAACACACTCTGTAGAACAGGCTGGCCTTGAAAGGATGGAGATCTGTCTGCTGCTAGGTGATGTGCTCCTTTTCAGACACATCTCAAATCTGGGGGTCAGTCCCTGAAACTTGTTTCCATGTGGGTATCACTCTAGGAAGGAGCTTCCCACTGAGGTCTTCATTAGAGGAAGTGTCTCACCATGGAGTTTAGGTTATTCTGGAAGTGAACGGATGGCCTAGGCTTTTCTGGAATGCAGTCCTTCTGCCTTCTGCCTTCTGAAACTATAGATGTGTAGTATCATGCCTGGCTTTCTTCTGAGACACCTGAATTTTATAACCTATCAGTTTCCACAGAGGATATTAGGGGTGTTGGGCCGTTTTTATTTTTTATTTTTAAACTTCTACATACTGTCACATTGTTACACAAAGCATGGTTGTTTCTGTGGATCTTGGTCTGGGAAAGGTTGGCTTTCCCACCACAGTGGAAATGTGTCTTAACCTGTTTTCTCTTGCTCTAATAGAATACAACATACTGGGTAACATAGCTTACAAACAAGCTAAGCATAACATTCACCAGCACCAGTGTGGTGGTTCACAACAGTCTGAGACTACAGTTTCAGGGAATACAACACTATCTTCTGGGCAGCCAGGGCACCAAGCTCACATGAGGTGCACTGATGTACATGCAACAAAAACATCCATAATCCTGAAATGAAATAAATAAACCCTAATGTGCATGTGAATAACATTATTGCGTTGGTGAATGTCATGGTATTGAAGGAGATATTTCACAGTCCTCAAAGCAATAGTAGGCATGATGAGGTCACAGTGTTAAAGCAATTGTGTCTTTCCATTGTCACCTGAGAATGAGCAAGGTGGATTCTGTATTAGCAGTCTGAGTGATCCTGATAATTGGAGGTATTCACTATAGTGAATGGAAGCTATCTTCATGACCCTGGGAAAAGAAAACTGTTTCTTTTCTTTCTTTTTATCTTTCTTTTTTTGAGACAGGTATTCTCTATGTAGATTTGGGGGCTGTCCTGGAATGCTTTCTGTAGACCAGGCTGGCCCCAGCTCAGTGATCCGCCTGCCTCTGCTTCCTAAAAGCTGGGATTAAAGGCATGCAACACCATGTTCTGCTAAGGTTATGGTTTTTAGAGTGATGAATTTATGTGTCAAGTTGATAAGGGATAGAAATCCTTTTCTGAACTTAAAGTGTTTCTTTATAACTGTACCCTTAGTTGAGTACTTCCGCTTTACTGTATTCCTCTGTTGGTGGGTTTTAATTTTCTTGGCAGGAAAGGCATACATTTAAACATAAGACGTGAGAAAATCATGGGATTTTGCCTCATCACTAATCCTTGGGGATTTCTGTCAAGCACTGTATGTGGTTCCTGTGCTTGAACCTGTGTGGCACCTGTGCCTACCATCAAGTCCTGTGGTTTTGGTTGTTGTTTTATTTCCCCTTTGTGGAAAGAGACTGGAATGCACCAAGCAAACTTAAAGCACTACTGTTGTGGAAAAGGCAGATGAGGAACAGTGAATATGCCAGGGAGGGGGCAAATGCACTCAGAATCTCAGAGCAGGTTGTTTTACAATGTAGTGAAATCCCCAAACAGAATATGTTTATTCCAGACTGCTAGGATAATATGTTGTTTTTCAAAATTTGTTTTTTGTTGCTTTTGCTTTTATTTTGCTTGTTTGTTTTGATGTTTTCGAGGCAGGATTTCTTTGTGTAGTATTGGCTGCCCTGGAAATAGTTCTCTGGACTAGGAGAGCCTCAGTTTAGCGATCTTCCTCCTTGGTCTCGGGACTGGAGTGATTAAAAATGCCCGCCACCCTGCGCGGCTTCTGTGTTTCATGGGGTAGGTAGCCCTGAATGGCTTTGAATTCATAGACGTTTGCCTTTCTCAAATTTGCTGTCATTACGCGGCGACTTCATTTGAACTTTCCGCAAATGTTTTGGTCCTGTAGGATGACAGAGCGAAGTATTGCTGCAATCAGGAACAGCAATACTAAAAGGAATGAACTGTCCAATGAGGAGCACGGATATTCATAGTGCGCTTCCTGGAAACGTTTGTTTTATTTGTTTTTCTTTCTCTTTTTTTTTCTTTTTCTTTCTTTTTTCTTTCCTTTTTCCCCCGATTCGCATAGGATAAGGGGATTCTCTGGAGGACTTGTTTTGGGCGGCTGTGTGTTCTCCTGACTGCAGGCATCTTTGGGAGGATAGCTAGACACATGAGAAGCAAAAATGGTGAGTGCGTCTTGGGCTCCTGGAACCCTGGGTGGCGGTGGCGGTGGCGGTGGCAGACACTAGCTCCTTACGAGCTGCGTGGGGTCAGCCCCTGAAGTTTTCCCTGGTGGAGTCTGGCCCAGCAGTGCCAATGCCCACGTGGTTTTGAAGTGTCTTGCCCCTGGCAGGCAGCCTTGGGTCCCGCGTCCCCCAATCTTGTGTCCTGGTGAAGTTCTCTTGGGTGAGTCCTTGTACAGGCGCTGCAGTGACACACTGACCAGATTGCCACGTGGTTGACCAGAAGTGTGCCCTATGTTTATATTTATTACGCTGGTGTGTGTAGTTAGGACACAAAAATCACTTTCCTCTGGGACTACAAACTTAACACCACTATGCCGGCTGTTTTTGTTTGTTTGTTTGTTTGTTTTGTTTTTTTTTTAAAGAAGTGGGCACTGTTTATCAGCAGGCTGACCCAGCAAACAATGTGTAGTTGAGGCCAATGCAGTCAAAAAAATCATATTCTAACTTCTTTCCAGAGCTTGTATTTTTTTTCCTCTCACGTCCTAGTGTATTTACCACTCTGCTTACATGTGACATGCATTCTGCTATCCTGGAAACACTCCACCTTCCCACAGATCTCATGGACCCTCTCTTCTCCATGGTCTCTACGGACATTCAGTTGAGTTTTGGAACAGATGGGTAACGAGTTCAAAGAGAGTATCCTCACAAACGAGAAACAGAGTTTGACCTTGTGGGCTTGAGTTATATCCATTTGCCTGAAAATTTCATTTCAGGTTTCTGCATTGCAGAGTCGAATTCCAATGTGCCCATGTGCCGAATCTCCATTTTCTGAAAACCGGCTGAGGGACATCCAGGCTGACTCTCTTGATAGCTGGCGGGACCAGAGAAGCAAAGATCCCTACTGTGCATCAGTCTCTTGCAGTGTATGGGCTCTTTTCATTATAGCTATTAGTTCAGAGAATGAATAGCTGGAGGAAGCAGTATTTCTATTTTTCTCTTTGTGACTCAAGCTCACACTGGTTTGCTTGTGAGCTGCAGCAGTTTAAACCTCCTCTAAAGGGAAGTATTCACTTCTCCATGCATACTCCATAAGGTGTGAGGGTTTCAGGCTTTCATGGTGAGCTTTTAACCTGCTCATCCATATCCTAGCTTTGTGGACAACCATTTCATTGTTTTCTTACTAAAAAGCCAATCAAACCTTTGAAAATTTGTTTTTATTATTGGCTCTTTCCTAAACATAAGTGATGAGTTTTAATTGGATCTAGCCCTTACACCCCCAGCACATCAGACTTTTAATTTTATGTGTCTTTTGTTTTTGTTGTTTAAAACCCACTGAGTTCTGATGGTTCTGTCCAGAGTGTGTGGTCATGGACTTGAGCCTGAACAACATACTAGTGGCCGTATACTAGAGGGAAAGACCCCTGCCACCATCAGTTGTCCATACCTTCATAGCTAGGAATGGCTTTCTCGAGGATTGCTAGGAAAGTAATTTTAAAGTGGAGAAGCTTGTGTTAAGGCTGTGCAGTCTAAAGCATGAATTGTAGATGACCCCTCTTCTCTGTTTTGAGAGCCTGGCCAGTTCTCAGGATGGATAACTGGGCGTGGTTTTTGCTCTAATTGAGATAGAGGCATGTTGATGCGATTCACAACCTTGACATCTGGTAATGACTGGGAGTGGATGTGCATGCTGGGACCGGTACCTGGATGATTGCTGAGCACTGGATAATGAGCCGCCTTTGTTCCTGAGGGTTAAAAATTTGCCTCAGGATGCCTCCAGGCTCTGCTGTTTCAACCCTGGGGAAACATATAGTCAGAGGATTGTAAGCTTGTGCATACATGCTTACTGGTGATGATGTGTATTCCCATGTAGTATTCCGGTGCTGTATGAAGAATGCCTAGTGGTAAATTCCCATGTAAAGTCCGCTCTCTTAGGGGCTTCCCACTCTATTTCTTTGTTTTAATTAAGCCTCCCACTCTATTCTTTATCTTAACTAAGCTTTCTTGTAGGGTAAATTTCTCTTTATCAACTAATTTTGTGGCTCGTGGAAATTCTTTCTCAAGGATCGAATCAAAAGTAGAAGTCTGTGCACAGCAAAGCAGCTAAAATTACTTGCCCTTACTAGGTTCCGTCACTTTCTCCCTAGAGTCTTGACCCACACAATCATAAGTGTTTTGGGGACTTTAGACTTTGATACAACTATTATAGGACATTTTTGTGAAGGTGAGCTCCTACTTAATAAGAGTACTGTTCTTTCCCTTGTGCCTTTATCTGTTCACCTTCTATAAAACTACAATGATAACATTTAACATAGACAATTATAGTTTATGTAACTGTTGTATTTAGTAATAAGAAGTCAGTTTCTAACTTAATAAAATTGGCTATGCTCTTAAGTATTGAAATAACAATATTTAATATCTTTTACTTCTAAGATGAATTTTAACTTATAACATTAAAAGGCAAACCTGTCTATCTGTGCCTTCCTCTTTAATGACATGGTTTTCCAAGTTCTGATCTTGTCCAGTTTAAACTAAAGAAAAAAAGGAACTTAAATACAAGGCTTTTGGAGTCTCTTCAGCCTGTACAAAGTCTTGCCAGTAATCAGCTTAGGCTCTGGGTCTTTTCCCTCCATGGTTTTCTGATTGCTAATGCTAGTAAAATACGGTCTAAGAGCTAATCAACAGCCTAGTCTAAAATGGAAAACTGATAAAGTATCGGTGTCTTTAAAATGATCTTCATTTTACCTATGCTAATATATATTGTTTCCATGTGCTTCTGTTTTTATATTGTTCCCATTGTACAATTAACCTATAATAAAAACTTCCAGATGGCTTAAATGTCATTTAACTCCTTGTGTATGTAATTAAAGCTTCCCTTTATAGAAGTTAGATACAGCATTATTCAATATCTTATTTGGTTAATCATCATCTTAGCTCTGAGTCTACAAGAAATCTAAAATGTCCTTGTTTTCAGGACATAATTGCTTCTATACAATGCTACAATTTCATTATCATGAACAAGGTCCTCATCTCAGAGATGACCCTCTAGTCCCTGTGATTCCTAAAATGTAAAGACTGAGAAAATAACTTAGCCCTGTGATTTCAGAGTTCCTTTAATAGTTAATAATCTTAAAAGTTCCCCAAATATTATGTTCATAATTTCCACTAGGTTTCTAATCAACAAATGAAGTCTTAAGTTTATTTAAAAATCTTTCACTGTCAAGCATTAGCTAAGTGTTACACATCTGCTTAATCATGTTTTAAATAATATTTTAATAAATGACTTTTGAAAATGGCTAGGTTGAAGCCTGTAATGACTTTCCATCATACCAAACTCTTGTGTTTGCAGAGCAGGCCTTCTTCTGGTCCTGTTTTTGGATAGACCTAGGGATTCCTTCTACTCCCAATGTATTGACTTTGGCCTAAGGATCCTGAATTAGGAATATCCAGGCCTTATATCTCTGTCATCAATCAGGGATGCTGTTACTTCTTTTCATCAAATATCCACGGAGGTGCATAGCTATTCAGGAAGCCCCATCATTGCTATTGGTTGTGAATCCTGTGTAGATACTGAAGTGTGTGGTGTTGGTCCTGTAAGACATATCCTTTTGTTGATTTTAGGCTCTTAGGAAGGACACTTTGGCCCATCAGAAGCAAGAAAGGGTGAGTGTCCTGAAACTGTGTGTTGTGTATTTGTGACTTTGTTGAGGCTGTGCTGTTGCAGCCTTGATGTTCTGCATCTGAGGTGCAGAGTGTGCCCTGATGTCCTGCACTGGCTCAGTCCTTACCCAAGCACTGCAAGTGTGTGCAAAGCAGGGGGCTGTTCACTAGGCCACTGACCCTGTCCCAGGGAACCAGTTTGTCCCAGGCCACTTTCTTCTTTGGGTGAAAAGGCACCTGGAACTTGTGCCTCTGCAGAAGTTGGAGTACTGCCAGGTTGGTGACACTGAGCCCCCAGTGTGTGCTGTGAAGGGACCTGGGTGATGTGTCATCTTGCTGGTTTCCCTTCGCTGCTGGAGATTTTTCCTGACATTACCCTGTGATTTTATATTTTCTTTAGAAGCGAACCAAAAGCCAAACCTAGCATAAGTTAAACACAGCTTTATCTTTAGTCCTCAACTTCCTAACCTCTCATTGTTGGGAGTGTGTGTTTGTGTATGTGTGTCTGTGTTTGTATCTGTAGTCTCTCCTTTTAAAAAATGGTGATTGGAGAAGATTGGGTTGTTCCCTCTGTAAGAGTGGAATAAAACTCACAGTCACAGAGGAAGAGAATACTTTTTTTTTGCACTGACTGTTTCTGAGGTAAAAGTTGGAATTTTTGCAAAGCTATGTCACCTTTGCCCTCAGTGATCCCTGTGAAGGGGATCATGAGCTTGGGATTGAATTGTTGTTTGATTGGTTGGTTTACACTGGGCTGTTCCTCCAATTAGAAGAAATTGCACTAGGTATTACTTAATTTTTATTTAATTCTTTATTTCTGGAGGAAGTTATTTGTAGAAAAAATATATTAGTATTTTCAGTAGTGTTAAATTTCAGGGTGCAGAGTGAAGTGACAAAAGGCTAGAAAGAGACCAGAGTCTGATTTCAACAGACAACACTGGTCATTATTACCGACAGTAAATATACTGATTTTCCTGCTGTGCAATTCAAGCAAGCTCCCTGGGACACTTTGTAGGGCCCTGGAAGGGGCTTGGGAATGAGGATGTTGATGCAGCTTCCTGGACTATATGTTGGAGTGCAGTCTCTTCTTCCTGAAGTTATTGTCCAAGGGAGACAGGCTGTCTCAGCCCTCTTGTGACTGACCAGTAATGGTTGAGCAAGGCACGCTGAAATCACATAGGAATGCTGTGTTTACAACGAAGGCACTCTATCAAATACAATTATGTTTGTACAATATTGTTCCTGGCCATTCATGACATGATTATTCAAATGCTTTACCATTTAGTTTGTCATTGTCACTGTCTTTTACTCACTTGCTCTGACTTATTTCTAAGTAATTCTTTTCATGTTACTCTGAATGCCATTTTGTCACTGATTTTTCTGTTTCACCCTAATCTTTTATTTTCTATTAATTTTTAAATTTTAAATTAGAAACAACCTCAATTTACATATCAATCCCAGTTCCCTCTCAGTCCCATCCTCCCATGCCCCCCCTGAACCCCCATTCTACTCCCCATCCCCAGGGAGAGTGAGGCCTTATATGGAGGATCATCCAAGTCTGTCACATCATTTGAGTCAGGGCCTAGACCCTCCCCAATGTATCTAGACTGAGTGAGTAACCCTCCATGGAGGAGCTCCCAAAGTTCAGTCATGCACTAGGGATAAATACTGGTTCCACTGACAGAGGCCCCATAGACTGCCCAGGTCTCCTAGCTGACACCCACGTTCAGGGGGCCTGGTTCGGTCCTATGCTGGTTCCCCGGTGAGCTTCCACTTGCTCATGTCAGCTGTTTCTGTGGGTTTTCCCAGCATAGTCTTGACCCCTTTGCTCATCACTCCTCCCTCTCTATAACTGGATTCCAGGAGTTCGCCTCAGTGCTTAGCTGTGAATCTCTGCTTCTGCTTCCATCAGCTACTGGATGAAGGCTCTAGGATGGCATATAAGGTAGCCATCAATCGCATTATCGGAGAAGGGCATTTAAGGTAGCCTCTCCACTATTGCTTAAATTGTTAGTTGGTGTCATCCTTGTGTATCTCTGGACATTTCCCTAGTGCCAGATTTCTCTTTAAACCTACAATGGCTCCCTCTATTAAGATATCTCTTTTCTTGCTCTCCTTTATTCATCCCTTGACTCAATCTTCCTGATCCCTCATGCTCTCCCCCCTTCTCCCCTCCTTTTTCTCCTACCTCCCACCCTCCCAATTTGTTCAGGAGCTCTTGTCCCTTTCCCCTTCCCTGGGGGACTCACCCTAACCTTTATTGGAG